GGTTGGGCCATGTCCTAATTAAAAAGCAACTGGATGTCAAAATCTCTTGTCAGATTGGAATTGACAATCAATCATAAATTCTTCCAGGGAATGTATTTTCGACTGCAAATCAAATGTAATGAATATAAACATTTGGTATTTTTTTTTTCTTCATTTTTGTGATTTTTAGCCGTAGGCTAGCTGGTATTTTTTCGAAACATTTGAAATTCTATAAGAAAACACAAGTAAAAATTATGCACTTAATATGACTTACTTCTTTCGATTTAATCCGCTTTTTGTGAAATCAGCTCAACCACATCAAAAAAAGCGCTCACCTCCCAACCAATTTTAGCCTTCTGTCAGTTGACCAACCCGCTGGTTTAGTTCAGATACAATTTTATTCGAAAGAACCTTGTCAGTTCAAACATCGTTAATATCGAATAATGTTAAAATCAACATAATTGTGAAGGTCACTATACAAAACCAACACAAATGAACCATCTATTCATAAATTCGCATTCGCAGTAAGGAAGTTGCACTCGGCCACTTAGATGGAATCCCCCGAAGAACGCGTTACCCACTGAGTTGCACCCACCGCTTTTTCTCGGCGGGGTTTCAACCAGTCGGTCTGATTTTTTGCATGTGAGTAGGGTCAATGGAGAACTAGTCACTCACAGAAAATCAGAGCACTTGGTTGAAAACCCACCGAGAAAAAGCGGTGGGTGCAACTCAGTGGATAACGCGTTCTTCGGGGGATAGCTGTAGCACTATCTCCAACAATAAAGACCTGTCCTGGCCAAGTCCTTGCAACTGCAGGGGATGGAATTGTAAGTTGGACACTTACTTAAGAGAGATGCGGAGAACTCTACGACCTTAAGGGAACATTCATAAATGACTTAGTATTTGTGGGTGTATCAGTGTATCAAACGGTTTATGTCAGGATCAAGGTTGATCTTTGTCGTTTATCGACAGCAGCGCTACGGGTTGGAGCTGAAAAGGTAGTTACCATCTCTATAATTTAGGAAGGCTGCTTACAGAGGAAATCGTTTAGTTTGTAGCATTTGCTAAGATTAGAACAGTATTTCAACAAGAAAATTTTCAAAAATAAAGTAATCAATATATGCTGGGGATCGGTATTCTACTGATTGACCCAAACAATGAAATTAATTTCTTCGCAACCCCCTGGTCTTAGAGTTATCTCTATGCGTGAATCCCACACCGTGTCCGGGGGTACATATGGGTATACACTAGACTGATGCAAAATTTGAAATTTTCACTCCACAGTGCTCAAACGGTTCCAAATTGGGCCCTGATCATTCTCCCAAAAACTAAACTCATTTAGTAAGAAACTGACTTAGCACAAACTATTTGAAGTTAGTTTATATGGGACTTACTATGGAGAAACCATAATTTCGATTCATATCTATCTCAAAATTCACCAGTTCACTCTACTTTAGAAAATGATAGCTGAGCTTGTTGAAACTTTTCTCAGCTACAACTTAGTTGAAGACCACTTTTCGATCAAATGTAAGGAACAAGTCACTGATGTCTTATGATTATGATGTCTTATGATTATGCTCCATCAGCTGTCCAGCAGGCAACATTGGTGTTTATGGCGCGTAGAATAGAGGACAAAAATCATGGCTACTATGTCACACTGCAGAATACAGTGTTGCCCACAATACAGTTGCTTAATTTTGCCATAAGATTTATCAATGTCTTAAACAATTAATAACGTTTGGCTGAAAAATGATTTTCTGCAAAGTTGTAGCTGATAAAAATTCCCATAAGAATAGCAATAGAATTTGTTATTAGTACAATATGCAAAAGGCTAGAAGACAATGAACAAAAAGTTTTGTTTTCCCCTAGTGATTTCCATATAAACTTCAAATGGTTTGTGCCAAGTCAGTTTCTTATCAAATGAGTTTAAACTTTCGGAGGTTAATCAGGACCCGATGTGAAACCGTTTGAACACTGTGGAGCGAAAATTTCAAATTTTGCATCAGTCTAGTATACACTGGTTCACACTATAGATACTATAGATTCCATAGATAAGCGGAGGCACAAAAAGTGTTTTCGACAACCATGAAAAATAAATGCTCTTACTGGTATTATAATACTTCTCCCGCACAAAACACCATGATGACATCATGATAGTTTGGCTCCACTAACTGACAGCTCGTTTGGCTACATTCTACTTTGCCTCCGCTTATCTATGGATTCTTAAGTATCTATAGTTTACAGTATCAGAACATAACACTACAAAGCACAGCTATTGAAAATTTGTTTCTCCTTACTAAAAAAACACGCGGACATATTCCGATATTATCGAGATCTACGTTCTTCCCGTGACAACCGTGGAGGTACAAAGGTGGCCTACACGCTAAGATCAGATAACCCAAATGTAGGTTTACTTTACCCAAATCAGGCGTAAACTGCACAAACTCAGATATGGGTAAATTTTTTAACCCAACTATGTGTAAATTTAAGTCAAATTTGCATTAAAATAAATCATTTATGGTTCATAAAAACCCATATTTGGGTTAAAAATTTACCCATATGTGAGTTTGTGCAATTTACGGCCAATCTCGGTAATCTCTTTGTATCGTCTGGGTAAACTGATCTTAGCGTGTAGGTCTCTAGTAACAACGGGCATCGAACTAACAATCCATTCCCTTCCGGATGACCGTAAGTACTTTGCCGGCACTGATTTACCGGAGTCGGTCATCAGTATGCATACTCTCTACTCATGCTGACATTGCATGCTCGTCGTGTTTTATATGGTTTAGCATCAACTCCATCATCAGTTGTGTGTTGTGATATGCGGGGCTCGGTGACCTTAGAGCGACCGTTTTTGCTTACTGAGCAGAACATTATGAGTTTAATATCTGACCTTTTCACATTCAAGATTCGTTAGTCGCTTTCTTTCTTAACATGATCCCATCACTTTAACACTCCAAACACGATGCCTCCGGTAAAATGTGTAACGGCAAACTTGCAATGTTTTAAAAAACATAGCTTAGTCATTTATTGATGAATTTCAAATCTACTGGCGCCATATAGAACAACATATTTCAAAAATTTCAAAAGATTAAAAATCCATCGATAAATATCTGAGTAATGATTTATCAAACATTGTCAATTTTCCGTTACACATTTTACCGGAGGCATCGAGTTCGGAGTGTTAAAGTGATGGGATCATGTTAGTGTGTAATTACAGCTGATCTGGCAATAACGGAGTAGCAACCACAGGTGGTAAAGCATGCTCATGCTTGTGCTGAAAATCTGAAGATCTGATCTTGTTTAAGCATGCGACCACAGACTGTATTTAAGAACAGAGTTTCGATCTAGCTACGGATTAAATCCAATTTCATTAAACCTCTGTAAGAACAAATTGTAAAACATCAATTACGGATCCTGTGAATGGAATTAGTTTGATTCCATATGCTTGGAGCTTTTGGATTTTTAGTCAATACTATAGCATATCATTTTTATTTTGATCAACCATGTGGTGTTTTTTTATAATATTCGAAAAAAAATTAAAGGGGAGAATGGTCTGCAACATTCGATTCAGGTTTAGGAAAATACCCTTTGAAAGGGAGGGGATCTTAAATTGGCTAAAATATTCCACGTCCATATGAGTATGCCCTCTAACGAGTCAGACAGAATGAAATATCTACAGCTCTATAAAGGAAACATGCTACACGAATTACCTTCTTCACAGAGGTGATCAACTTAGCTTCGAATCCGCTAGTTTAAAGTATTAGTATCGATAATCGCTAACTGATAATTTTATAATGAGATTATCGGTAGCTAACGATAACCGCCAACTATTTTCAAACTAGTTTATTTTCAGAAGTTTGCTTGTACAAAATTATTTTATTATACAAAATAAAGTTGATTTATTATACCTCAAAGCACAGATCTCTCCAATTTCTCCATTTTTTGTGACTAAAATTATATTTATGTGGTTTTATTTGTGATGATTACGATCACCTAACGCGTCAGATCCGGATCTAATGTTGGTGGCCCTTCCGTTCATACTAAGTGAAACCTTTGAATATCAAATAATTCATTACTTTTTACACATAAATAGAATTGATTTGCGATCTTCAACAAAGTTGTTTGGCACAGATTGTGCAATTTAAATCTTAGATATATGCAATATTGAACAATGCGTGCATTTTGAACATGTGAATTATTATTTCCTATCCTTTTCCCATGAACGTTCCCTTAGTAACTTTAAAATTATGGCACAGATCTAGATCACAATCAAACTCATTCAATTTTGACAAAGTTTTTGAATACCTCAATTCAAATATAAAGAGCAGTGAGGCATCGGGTAAAAGGTATATCTATTAGTGTCCTTTGAACCATTTACGATGATAATTAGCGGACTATTTAGCGAATCATCAATTTAGCGAAAGCTAACAAAAACGATAATGGTTTTAAAACGATAGCTCAGCTAATTCTCTATTAGAGGATTAGTGGAATTTTGCCCACCTCTGCCCTCAGCCCTCGTATATTGATCAGGATGTATTATTTCCCATGTATGCTACTTCTCAATCTAAAATGTCGCATACGACATTTTTGCAATGCAACATTTTGTTCATCGATGGTACATCCTACAAAGACAATTTTGAGCGAAAAGCTATTCCAAGTTCGTCACTATATGTGGCACATGCGCATTCAAGTCACCCGCATCGAGTGCCTCTATGAATCGCTAGCATAAGCTACAAGTTACAAACGGTCAACACGAATGAACGATGATGAGTAGCATTCAATGTAGCCCACCTTTTTCGAACACGACAGCATAGCGTCCCCTATTTCATCGAGCCACTCCTGTTCGTCGTATGTTTTGTCGAAAAATGAAGCGACGCTTGGCATAGGCATACCCCACCTGCTAGGTATTTACGCCTCAGACCTTGCCTGCTTGATTGTGTTTACAAAATGTCATAACAGAAAACACAAGCCACTGCATTTCGTGGTAACCTGGTAAGCATAAGATAAAGGGTACCAAAAAGGGAAAATCGATTTTCCAATCATCGGAAAGAGAAAGATACAGTGCACAATGTTATCACCTAACTGAACGTTCTCGACAGGTACTGGATTTTTTTTTAAACCGTTTTCGAGAAATAAGTGTAAATATGTACAAATAGTAGAACTCAAATGATATCACACGAGCTGAATTATTTTGTAGATAGTGACAAAAGATCAAGAAAGCGTGTTAACAGTTCCGAAATAGCAATGGATTCGAATTTCGATTTTGAAGAGCATATGGAAAAATATGACCAAGAGGTACTTTTCAGATTTATTGAACATTGAATAATATTTCTAACCGGATGATTTTTCCTTACAGAATTCCGCAATCCACAGAAAGCTTCAGAGCAAAGTGGAAGCTCTGAAAATAATGCGAAATGAGCTGGAGAAGTACCGTTCCGAGCGTGACCAGTTCAAGCTGATGGCTGAAACTCTGCAAATGCGATACTCAGCCATAAAAAGTAGTCTCAATTCGCCGGAATTCCAAGCGGCTGGATTCAGCCATAGCTCTGCCATTAACCTCCTGGTGAATCAAACTCGCGAGCGAAACTTGTCCTTGAGCACGGAAGTCGAAGCCTTACGGCAACGGGTGCACGAACTCGAAGGGGACATCGAAGTTCTACGAACGAGAAACTGCGACCTGCAGGCGGTATTCAACAAAATGAAATCCGCGGAAGATGCTAAGCTCAAGGATTGCAATGGCGTAGTTTGGCAGGAGGAAAAATCCAAACTGATTGCCCAGATGGAAAATCTGAAGAAGAAAAATGCGCAACTTCAGTACGACTTCCGATCGCTGTTGGACGAAAAAGAGGATGTGGTCATGGAACGGGACGCGTACAAATGCAAGGCACACCGACTGAACCACGAGTTGAGTGTTATGCTCAAGGGAGATAAATCACAGCAGAAGATTGTCGATATTGATGGATTGATTCTGGAGAACAAATACCAACAGGAGAAGATAACGAATTTGGAAAATGAACTGGAACTGTCCCGACAGTCGGCTACGAAGTACAAGGTATGTAGAAGCGTTCCAATTACATACAAATTGATTTGATGGCACAACTACTAACCAAATTTGCTTCCATAAAGAACATGCTAGACACCAAGCGGAAAAAGGGAATCATCAAACTTGGCACTAACAACAACCAGAGGGTCATGTCTCATTCGCAAGGTTATTACTCATTTTACTAACTTTGGTAGAACATGTTGCTTAAAGTTGTAATGTTTCGCTGTTAAATTTTATTATTGTTCATCATGTGTTCATCATACTCTTCTCAAAGTTAACCGTTTAACTCTTATACCTAAAAAATCCAGAAGTTTCTGTTTAGCAGATAATAATTAGCTTCTGATTCATCAAACTGACCTGCCCATAAAAAGTATATCTCAGGATAAAAATAGGAAAAGAACCAAATGTTTGATGATTTAAAAAGTTGATATTTTTACGGTATACTAACAGCAACATCTGGTAAAGGATTTTTGCTTCAGTGTTTTGTGATTCGCGAGAAATCAACTTGAACTGTTCTAACTTGGCTTCTTTTCATATCTATATGCGACAGTAACTGCTTATTATATTATAGGTATAGGGAGATGTATTAAATTTCAAATTCGTTTATAAAGTGCCATCTGAAACATGGTTTCCCAGAAATCCACAAAACATTAGACATGTCACGACTAAGAACTTCATGATCACTTCACATAAGCTCCAATAAATCAAAAAAAGTGCAGAAAACTTCGGGAAGTTTAGATACCTTCTGGGCAGCCTGATTAATGTCAGGGAAATTCCAGAAACATTTTCAGAGGAATAATCATAGCTTCAAGGAAGTTCCAAGAACTTCAGGAAAGTTCCAAGAACTTAAGGAATATTAGAGAACTTCAGGGTAGTCCAGGGATAAAAAGAAATAACCGGGGATTACGGGGAAGGTTCATGAACAGACTGTTATCCCGCTTAGGTAATATCTGAGAAATTCCATAAAATGTTGTTGGACACTTCAGGGAAGCTTCCAGAATTTCAAGACGGTTCCATCAGCTTCATGGAAACTACAGGAACTTTTTAAAAGTTCTAAGAACTTCAGAACAGTCAAGAAAACTTCAGACAAGTCCAAAGAACTCAAGGATACTTTAAAGAAATTCTAAGCTAGCTTGCTAGGTTTGGAAAGCTTCAGTCTAGCACAGATATTCTAAGTGCAGTTCTAATTACTTCAGAGCAGCTTCATAAGTATCAGAAAAATTTCAAAAATCAGCAAGCCGAGAAAAAACCTGTTGAAAATTTATTTCTCCACATGCTTTTGTGGATGGTATAACCTAGTTTGGGGATTTTCACAATATTTTCTGAACAAAACATGTAACTTTTAGTGCACAATGTAAAATGCTGGTAGTTTACAATCGATTCTAATGGATAACTCATTTCTGACAAAAACCCACATGGGACTGTTACGCTTTTATGGGTAGTTTAGAGCATTACCAAAAACTTTAGAGATGCACCGAAAACATCAGATTTTCAAAGATCTTGAACAATTAGTAATTTTGTTTGGGTTCAGGTTCCAGGGGTTGGGACCTTCATCAGGGATAGTTTTTATTTTGGATCGTGAAGCTTTTTGCACTGACGGTACAACCGAAGACAACATATCAAGAAGACTGGCTACTTTGCCACTCGAGCAAAGAAGAAAGCAACGCAAAGAAAAACGAGCAAATACACTAGCCTTTCTTCTGAAGATGAAACCTTTGCTATCCTGTTCTTTCGAAGCATTTACATTTGAGCGGCAAATGACGCAATTGTGTCTGTCTCAACCGCTCGTATGAGAAAATGGGAGAGTTGACAGTCAGAAGGTCAATTTAAAATGCTGTAATGTCGGACGTAAAACATCGTAGCGTTTTTATCCACCGTTAAACTCAAGATCCAATTCCTCAAAAAATTTGTATTTTAATGTTTTCCTGATTGCAGACAAGTTTTACTCGAACTCTAGTTTTGTATGTAGTTCTCTTAATTGTAATTATGGGTGCTCCATAAATGATCGAAACCACACTGGCCCAATAACCAAAACGATAACCAGATCGTGATCATGGCGGTGATTTTTTTAAAGAATGGGATCTTTCAAATATTTCAAATCCATCAATCTTGAAAATTTCAATTCCCTTCCGCATCTTTTGCTGTAGCCGTCGGATGAAAAAAAGGGTGGAAGTGAAGAACACAATTTGATTTGACAATCCCAATGGAAACCCACAATAGGCAAAATTTAAAGTTTTATGAAGGCACTGTATGCGGATCACGTTGAGATGGAAGCAACGTACCGGTTTGCGGAAGAGAAGACAATCTTCAATAAGTTCAAAACGAAAAAAATCAATGCAGTTTAATGTATTGCATGACCCGTAGAAATAAGTTTCCCGATATGCTGATGGAAAGACAGTAGAGGTATGCATGTCACTTGCGGAGGGCAACGTTAGTAATCAAGCGTTGGTGCGGAAAAAATAAACGGGTCACACGTGAAAAACTTTCTGCTCCAAGGCGGAACAGCCCCAGGCTGAAAGCCTCCTTAATAAAGAAAACCTAACCTAATTTTCTGCTCAGTTGGACCTCGACATATATATAACATCATGTTTTTTTTACCTCCTAAAAATACAATAAACTGTAACTTTTCATCGTAATTTCTCAAATATTTGCTGCTCAATGATCAACTATTCAAGATTTATCGATATAGTTTTTGGCTTGATTAAATGAGTCTACATAAAGCTTGTAAAAAGTTTTCTTATTTTACTGCGATTGAAAAACTGTTATTTCTTGAAATACAATGAACCTGAAATTGTGTACATTTGTAGTCTCCAATTCTTTTTATCACTACAGATTATTTAACATGTTCCTTATTGATAAAATCAATTATTTTGAACAAGTAAAGTTGCACTAAGCTTCAACACCTTGTTTTTAATTCGTTCCTTTATTGTGTTAATCTTCACACCCTGGATCTAAATCATCAAGAAATAAGAGAGCGCTCAATAGTCAAACACTTTAAATTTTCATCTGTTACTAATGCATGTGCCTTTAGAGCAACTAACCTCAAAGCTATAACACGATCGAAAATGCAATGTGTCGTAAGCGCCAAAACCAAATCTATTAAGGAGAACCTTTTTTCTCTTCAGGCAGTATTGCCAATTCAGAGAAAATTTAGCATAGAGTGACAGCTCATAGAAGCTGTATTCAAATTCTTGCCCAAGACGTCATATTTAAAAGACGTTAAACAATACCGCCATCTACTCATCCGATCGCGTCATATCATGAGTAAGGGACGAACACAGGTACAATTAATATTTACTTGGTTTGCGCCTCACCTCGTTTGACAGATCTGATTGACAAATTGAATTGCGGACAAATCGGTGGCCATATTGCGCAAGTCGAAAGAAAGTATTTTTGTTGTATGAACGCTTGTATGAAAAAGTTTGTCGTTTCGACTTGCAAAATGAGGCCCCTGGTATAAAACAGTGCTTGGCTTGGTTCGAATTCAGTCGAAAATAGACCTAAAAATAAACTGGATTCAAATATGCATATTTTAGAACTAAGGGGCTGTTCATTAACTACGTAGACAGGGGGGGGGGGTTGGAAATTATTCGAGACCCATTCACAATTTAAAAATTGTGTAAGGACAATTGTCTGCGCTGGAGGAGAAGGGGGTCAAGAATCCTAAAACCCTGTCTATGTAGTTAATAAACTGCCCCTAACATGAAACACCTAAATAGGAAAGTTCGATCATTTGGTTTAGGAATTTAATATTGAATAACTTAAAAATGATATAAGATAGCAAATATTTTTTTCAGGGATCTCTCATTCTCAGGGAGCAGCAATGCATTTTATGTTAGCAAGTAATATCGTGCACACTCGGGAACCTTACCGCTCCAAACAAAACTTACGTTTTGATTTTTCTAAAAAATATTGCAAAAAATGAGAAAAGAAAGTTTTTTTTTAATGAAAATTTTGTTCTACTATCCCGGTCATAAGACCCTTTAAAAATCGTTTCGTAACGTAAACGTTTCTAGCTCATATCTCTCATTTTACAACCGATTATCGATCTTTGTGGGTCATTTGAAAAGTATTGCCTGAAATTTTTCTGGTAGGTTATTGGTTAAATACATTTTACAATTTATGAATAGTAAAACTTCTCCCAAAGTTAGGTTATTTTCCAAAATTCACACTGAATTTTCATGACTGAATTTTTTCAGAATTGAGTAGACCATATTTTGAAATGAAAGGGATAGTAGCATCCTTCTTCTATACCCATCGTGATACGTTTGTGAAAGTTTGGCTGAAAATTATAATATGCTTTAAATTAATAACATAGTTATTCTAGTCTTCGATCAAAAGTTTGGGGTCATCCCACAATATGGTTTATCGCAATTGTAGGTATTATTGAAGTTTAAGTATACAAAAAATGGGAAAATATGTTGAGCCACATACCAACGTAGTAAGTTACATTGATTGCCTTTCAACTACTGCAAAGAGAACTAAAATTGGACAAAAGATGACAGAGATATGAACAGAAAGTTTAATCAAAGTCAGCCCAGTATGGTGTAAGCGCTCAAAAGTTTGGGGTCACCATCAAAACGAAACCTGGAAATGTTGTTTGGTTTATATTTCTGCCATTTATTGTGCAATTGTTGTTCTCTTTGCAGTATCTGAAAAAAATTCAAAAGCTCCAGTTGAAAAACAAATATTAGCCGGTAAGTTTCCCGTTAAGTGCATCATACAATTCAGTGACTCACCTTACCTTGTTGGTTCAAATTATATCCTTTCAGATGATTAATATACTGCAAACCATATCTCTTTTCGTTCACCATTGCTATATCGGTGCTTTATATTTTTCCATAATATTGATTATTGGGTTAAACAAGGTGATAACCGCAAAAGCACACATCAATCCGAGTGCAAACTGAAAATTGATACGCATCATCATCTGGCATACGGGCCTTTCATTTTCGTAAACTCTATTGTAATCGCTTTTTCGTAGTATCAAGATTTCCATCGCACTCCTTTTGGCATCAAATAATCAAATAACCCCCTTCATCATATCGCCTACAGTGAAAGATCTCCTCGAACGTGGAACCGTGGAAGAGCTACCCCTCAAAGCAGCGACCATATCGGAGCTAAAGTCACTCTGCCTAGCGCTATTGGATAATGTCAATGACAAGAGTCTGGCTTTATCGCACCAAAAGAAGACTAACAAGTGTGTTTTCGTTGCCAATTCGCACCTGTTCCGGTGCAAAACAACAACTTATTTTTCTCAACTCGTTTCAGACTTTTGGCTGCCAAGATATCGGAATTGGAGCAACGAATACACGCACTCACAGGGACGAACGAAATTGTAACCGCGTCCAGTCTTTCACCCTCGCAAATTCTACTCAACGGATACAGCTCAGCGACGGTCGATGTGGGCCTGAGCGAGGAAATCAAACAACTCAAAATTGCAATCCATTCCGAACTCAGCGATAGTGGAGGCGCTGAGGGAAAGTGTAATGTCGAAGCAACCAGTTCCAATACCTCGCAAGGTTTGCTGACCGAACTGCTTTCGTCCGAATCGAATAAGAGCCTACCGAGCTGTTCGGAAATTGGTGATCAGGACTACGGTAGCGCGTCCTCTTCCGATATGACGTCCAATGCGGAGGAAAGTACCGGGATCTTGTTGGAACCATACATTAAGGCTAACCGCAGCGGATCTACGGACAGCAAGCTTCCTGAACTGCCTCCGGAGATTGCAGAGCTCGTGCGGCAACTATCGAAGAGTATGGATGTTGGTGCTAATTGAAAGCGGATGGAATTTGTTAACACTATTAATGATCTTGAATCTTGATTGACACACGTGTTTTTCGAAGGCTTGTTTTCATTTCCGGGTACAGTTCAGCAATCAGTTATGCTAGTTTAGGATGAATATACCAAGCAAACGTATCCTTCTATCAGAATCTATTCACATTACTAACCTGATAAAATAAAGAAGGTCGTTATGGCAAATGAAGTCAAGCTAATAGTTTTCCGATGATTCGAAAAATCTTTTTCCTTTTTAATTTTCTTCTTCCTGGCTCTACCAGCTGCACTTTAATAGTTACAGTGAACTCTCTACATTTTGATATTAAATGGACCATCGAGTTAAGGAATTATCGAGAGAACAACAATCGCATTCCTCCAGGAAATCAACATCACAGTAGCCATGAAATTTAATTTTACTATGGTTCAATATCTCGATATCGAGTTACTACCCCGTATAGATATGGCTTATATCATAGGATTTCCAGTGAAAATTAGATGTATGAGTGCTCATTGCAAGACAGCATATATTACATGATATAAGTCATAGTCTGTACGGGCCAGTACGGGGTATATTTAAACAACAATCAATACGAAACTAACGATTTGAAATTGGCTCACTACTTGACTAGCCTATTGGTCCCAAGAAAACAATTAACGTACCCCATTCTAGTCGAAATTCTAGTACTACACAATGTTTGTTTTGATTCGCTATGAAAGTTTGACAGATAAAATGAGGGGTTATTGGTTTTTCCTATGTTTCGAGGGGTGAATCGATTAGCTTGGGACCGAAGAGAGTACCAGATCTGAGCCAAAAAGTTGAGCACGTTATTTAGGGACCTTCTCGTCTTAGAGTTAACTCTATGGTATAAAGGACATCAAGTTGTGGATAGTTGACTGTATGAGTTGAGAGCTTTCTATGCCTGCCAATACATGAATTTGCAAATTGTGTAACATGCAATGATAGTCTTATATTTTCAACTCAAAAATAATAATATACAGGACAGGAAATCGTACCCGTCGCCTCCCGCTTGGTAATACCAACGGGTGGAAACTAACGATTTTAAATTGGCTCACTACTTGACTAGCCTATTGGTTTCAAGCAAATCGATCAACGTACCCCATTCTAGTCGATATTCTAGTACTACACTATGTTTGTTTTGATTCGCTATGAAAGTTTGACAGTAACAGAGCTGAGCCAAAAAGTTGAGCACGTTTCTTCGGGACATTCTAGTCTTAGAGTTACCTCTATGGTAATACCATAGAGGTAACTCTAAGACCACTGGGTCCCGAAGAAAATCATTATTATTTTTGGCTCACTCAGTACCATAACAACGGTCCCAAGCAGTCCCAAGCTATTTCACTCACCCCTGCATGTTCTGCATGAATCCACACACCCCTGATGTTATCTGTCAAACTTTCATAGCGGATCAAAACAAACATAGTGTAGTAATAGAATTTCAACTAGAATAGGGTACGTTAAACGTTTGCTTGGGACCAATAGGCTACTAAAGTGGTGAGCCAATTTAAAATCGTTAGTTTCGTATTGATTGTTGGTAATACCGCGCCTTAAGATACTAAACTATTGCGGATCTTAGGAAAAATTACCATCCGTCGGCTACCGTAGAGTTCTACCACAGCTGTACCGCAGGAGCACAGCAAAAACAAAGTGTGCTTTAACAAATCTAGATAGAGCTAGAATTGGGGCGTAACAGATTTTGTAAACAATGACTTCTCTAGTTGATTTCTAAGAATTCAAGGCACAAGCCAACATATCCATCGGCTTGGGAAAGTCTTTCCCTACTCGATGGTGATATCGATGAAAAGTGACACAAGCTGACTCGATGAAAAGTGACACAAGCTGCGGGCAATGTTCACTAATCATGAACACTAAATGTTCATGATTCATATGGATGAACTTCTTCTTCTTCTTCTTCTTACAAATTAACCGCAAATCTCGCGTAGCTTTTCAAAAGTTGCTAAGTAACAAATGTCAAAAAATCGAGTTAATCGATAAAAACTACTGCTCTTCTATCAATGTATGTAATATAGTATAAAGTCACCCATCCAAATTTACTTTCATTTATTTAAGATAATCATAGGTCAAAAATTGTCCAATGTACAGTTTGAAATGATGAGTACGTGATTGTTTACTTCGGACATTTGGACTGCCTGGTGCTTGGTGCTCATTTTCAAAAGGCGGGGCATGGAAAACCAATCTAAGGTTAGGTACTCTATACCGCAATCTGTGAAAGGGAATCTAGTATCATGTAGAAAAAAAACGTCCAATCCCGAGCAGGAAAAAATAACTTATTAATACCAAATTCAGGTATGAAAATAGCATAATTGGCATCCTAAATTTGGTATAAGTAAGGCTAAAATAAAATAAAAAATACCAAAAATAATACACCTCAAAATTGTTCTACGAATAACGAACTAATAAATAATTTAACAAACGGATAACAGACGCTTTTTTAGATGCCAACATATCATACTTTGTTATTTTGAAGGTCTTCCAATACCAATTCTATAACTCTTTTAGGCATTGTTGTCTAAAAACTGAAAGATCACATTTTGTTATTGTGGTATTCATTTGATATTTTACAAAATATTTCGATAACTGCATAATATCAAAACAAGATTTTATACCACAAATATACCGAAATCTGGTATCATACCACATTAAGATATTCATTTGTTATCGATTAGCTATCGGTTCCTGCTCGGGATGTAACACTCATTGATTATGTCATTAAGAAAAATCGTCCAATGTAACATGTTTGATGCACATAATTGGCATGATGCACTTTTACATTCTTTATCTTACTTCTAAAAAACTTGGACTGGACCCAAACTAAACGTTGAAATGCACATGCCTAACAAAAGTTAATAGCAATGCGAAAGTTGTTGGTGCTACTGAAGCGCAAGGTTGTTAAATTATGTGAACTGTAATACCCACAAATAGAAAAGTTCCATCGTTACATGCACCGCATGAACCATGGTTAAATTGATGTGTGTAATTGAGTTGTTGTTTGCAAGAAATCGACGATGGTTGGTACCTCATACAGGGCCAGTCAGAAGTTCTGAAACCTTCTGAAGTTACGTCGTCGGATTATACATTTCTGAACATGAGCCATCCTGGTCTCTAATTCTTCCCATTTTACTTGGTGGTTCCACTTGGGCCATGCCGTCTAGAGATTCGAGTTCGAAGATGATTTCTATTGGCCTATTACCCATTGGATCTTTATCGATTTGTTGAGGATTATGCCGAGCTTTCTAACGAAATATCCATGGCCGATTCTCACTACCCACTAATAAATGTCGAGATGCAGGAACTTGAATCCCGTCGATTGCTTTTCATTCCTCTTCTTCAAGCTTATTGCTTATCGCATATTAGCTTATTGCGTGCTCTCAACTAAGTGTTCTAGATGCACTTCCACAGTTATTAATTGAGAGCTTTCGATGTCTGGTACCATTCTTGCATTAGTATAATTGTATGGGTACCCAAGTAACAATTCAAGCTGAATAGTAAGAACAGAAACTGATTATTGGTTGATTTAAGGAGTACAAAGCTGACTAACAGCAGGCTGAATATATAGTTGATTAGTAATGCATGAAGCTAATTGTATCCACATAATTCAACCTCAATAATTTAGCTGATCTAAAGATTGAACAAGCTTTATTTTAGCTTAACACTACTCCGCAAATCAGCAATGCGCTACACATATTTTGATAGCCTGATTTGTTAAGTGTAGTCAGTGTTACTCGTTGCATTTTCGGAATTTTCTTCTAAATTCACTGCCTACCTTTCTAATCCCAAGCAGCGGCAGCAGTAGAGACAAGGTAAAGGAGCTTTTTAGGAATAGCTCCAGGTAGAAGAGGGCTGCGACGACGTCGGAAGTATTAACATTTGTAATTCTGTGTTTTGACAGCTATATTGCACATAATTTTCATGCAGAATTCCAAAAATATAACTCATAAAAATATACATAAAATATATAAGATATGAAACGGTCTTCCATATTGTTTTTTTTTATTTCTAAATAAAGTAGAAGGCTGAATATGGGTTGGAAAAGACTGTTAATTTATATAACTCTGAAGCTTTTGGCTGATTAAAATCAGATTTAGATGTTTAAAAGCTGAACAAAGGTTAATGTGGTCTATGTGCAACAATTATTCAAACTAAGGCTGAATTAAAATTGATTAAACAACATTTGTTAAGCATCAAATTGTTACCTGGGAAGTACAATCACACCCCTATGGAGGTCGATAAATTTACCAACCCGAAAAATGTCTAGACCGGACCGGGAATCGAATCCAGCCACATCTAGCATGGTCTTGCTTTATAGCTGCGCCTTTACCGACTGAGCTAAGCGAGGTCCCAATGCTTTTCATGTTTAAGGAATTAAAAAGTGCATAAGATTGGTCAGATCGCACCGGATTGGAAAAAGTCTGGCCTTTTGTGCTGCGATATTTTCAAAGATGATTACTTAAACTAAATATATGCACCCAGAATACATTCTAACATGTCAATCTAATATAGAATCTTTAATTAATTTGTTTAAATGAAACTTGTTCAAACTAAAATGCAAAAAAATATACCCTAAGCTTCACAATTTATGTCACTAAGCTATGCCATTCTGCACCAGTGGATTTTTGCACCTCACCAACACGATTCGCGTATTAAAGAAACTGCTTCAATCTGTCCAAAACAGACTCCTCTGAAGGAAATTTTTAAACACTGATCATATTTCGACACCTCCCAAAATTTCATCGATTTGCCAAACGTGATGTACCAATTATTACAATCAAAAATGCACTAATTAAAACCACACCTATAAAAGGAGATCGGTTTTGACCGACGGGTCTCCAGTTAGTTATTCTGGATTCGCGTGTCAAGTTGCGGTCGTAGTGAGTTGATTAGAAGTGGTGGATTAAATCTCGGTTATTGTGAAGTGTAACGTTTAGTGGTTTTCCCGTGTAAACTCACCATGAATGCAATCTAAAACTGACTGAAAAGTGTATGCGCTGCGGTTGTGCTAGTAGCTTCATTTTAGTTTGAAACAGCCTGTCCAACCATGGATCACAATCGATTCAAAGTACAAACGGTTATACAGATGAACAGTGGTCAACAACAAAACGGTGGTGGTACGCCACCACCCGTATTTCGGCGCCTAGACGACGAAGTGCAACTGAATGTCGCAGAGCTGAAAAACCGCAATCAGGTTGCCCCTGCCCCCCTGACCGAGGAAAATCGTCGCATTAGTATCATGGGAGTAACTAGGTAATGCCAACACGACAACAATGACGAATCCAGTGGAGGTTCATGGTATTTGATAAATTGTGCTAAGCAAGTGAGATATAGTTGTTGAACTCAAAAGATGATTGCTCACTAAATGGATTCGATTAGTGTTACTCGAGTAGCAGAGGCAAAAAAGCCAAGTGTAAAATTTCATCGAGAAGAAAAAAAAATCCCCCCCAATTAACGCCTCGACCTCAAGGCAGCATTATGTCCATCACTTATACAGCGTGTCTGCACTTCCAGGGACCCATTGCCACGACTGGATCACTATCGAACATCATCGCGAAAAATTAAGCGTCCATCGATTGGTGAACTGCATGGAGACAGCGATGCGAAAGATAAGAAACAGGTAGGTACGAAACTGTATTCAAATGGGATTTTTCTGGATCGTGAACCGGATCAATCCAGCCATTTTCGCAGTGACGATCGTTTTCGAGATCGAAGTCAAACAACGCATGTGTGAGGATATCGGGGGTGTCTAAGCGATGGTCGAAGCCATCCAGGGTAAAGGGGACTAGAAAAATCATAGTAACTTAATTTCAAACTTTACTATCATATCTTATTGTGTACTATTAACATTAGCTTATTCTGCTATCAGAGCATAATTTGCTATTATTATGATATTTTTGAATTATGAACTCAAGAGCTTATTTTGATCTAACAGCAGAATACGCTATTAATATGTTGTTATATTTAAACAACTTACATATGCTTTGTTGAGATAAGATAGCATTATGTTATTATTATACTATGACTTTTGCTGACATTGCAATTACTCAGTTAGTATTCCATAGATTTTCTGATGTTATTTTTGATATTTTAGCTCTTATATCAACCAAACTAATAATAAATTTGGATGTTCAGTTTTCCAATTTAAATAAAACAAAACTTGATATTAATTTGATATTCTCATCAGAAAAAAATTGGTAAAATTAAGGGATTTGTTTGGTGCCCCCGAGGAATAGCGTAGAACTTTATCAAATGAGCACATATTGAATACCTAACACCACTTCACAGTGGGCCAGATTTCATATGGAAGAAATATCATAAAATATGTTGCGGAGATCAAAAAAAAATGTTTAAATTAGGTTTTTTTCTGTAATTTACAAAATCTACTGAAACTCGCATTAAAATGGCTCTGACGGTTTTGACGCCTGTAGTAATATTTTCCAGTGTCAACTTTGGCCAAAAATCTAAGTCTAAACTTCTAAAGAATGCTCAAGCACTGAACTGAAATTATTCATCCACAAAGTTGACCTTGCATAGATGAGCAACTTTACCGAAGTCATGAATTAAGCTGATCCTCGGGATGACGTCGTAGTGATTTGATATCTTCGGTAAAGTTGCGCGTCTATGCAAGGCCATCTTTGTGGATGACAAACTTCAGTTTAGGCTCTGAACAGATGGAAAGTTATCGATTAATACCCCGTTCACATTACAACCTATATCACGTAATATAGGCTGTCTTGCAATGAGCACTCATACATAGGATTTCCAGTGAAAACTAGATGTATGAGTGCTCATTGCAAGACAGCGTATATCACGTGATATACGCTGTAATGTGAACGGGGTATAAGCCTGCTATCCGAGCATTGTTATTTCTGACAGACAAGAAGTTAAATTTTGACAACCGTGGCTCGAAAACCGGTCGATCGACAGCACAGGGATTTTTGAAGATAGAGAATAACTTTCGAAATGTTACTTTTAACCACGAGTTAAATTTAACTCGGCAAATGGTTCACAGCCTTAGTGCTCATATCTTTTGAACGAAGCACTCTTGAGACTTTTTTTTTCCTTGATTTGTTTTCCGTCGATCTTGTTTTCCGTACTGAGCACCAATGCTACCGACGCCAGGGAGGCAGCTCCTACACCTGGACCCCTACCTATTGGCCCATTAACTCATAGACCGGGGACCAACGGCTTTACTTCCCCGATCAAAGATGTTATGCCTCAGAAAATCCCGGCGGCGCCGACTGGGATTGTACCCAAGCCTTTTGGGGGTGAGAGGCAATCACACTTACCACTACACCACCAGCGCCACTCAATCTTGAGACTTGGTTTCTTTAACACAGTTGGCCTTGAGATTACGCTGGAAAATATTACGACAGGCGTCAAAACTATCACCCATTTTATGTCAAGTTTTCGTTGATTTTGTTAATTACAGCATAAAATCGAGTTTAAATCATTTATTTTGTTCTCCGCAGCATATTTTTTTTCCAAATGATACAGGGATCTCAACGGTTTGGCTATAAAGTAACGGTTTTCTACCTCGATATCTGTTTGGTTGAATTGAAAGAGGAAGTGACTTTAATAGATATAATACTATAAACGTGGATGAAAGAAGAACACCACATGTCTTAACTTGTGGTTCACAAAATTCATTTTATTTTAAAGGAATGCTAACAATTTACTATTTCAATAAAGGGCCATTCAATAAGGGGGAGGGGTGTTAGAATTTTTTTACGTTTTCCAACGTAAAAGGGAGGGGGTCTCAGAAATATCTTGCGTAAGCATGAAAAAGTCATATACAGACCATTCAAACATTCGATGTAAGATCTTACAAGGAGGGTAGAAGGGGTTTGTTAAATATTACTTAGTCTTACAATGGGAGGAAGGGGGAATTTAAAATCCTGAAAAAAAAGTGCATACGTAGTTATTGCATGATTCCCAAGTATATAAATTGTCACATTTTTAACACGGCACGTTCAAATTCAAATGTGCTTTACGCTTCTTACGAGGGAAAACATTATTCTAAATTTGAATTGATACTCCACAGTGCTTAGACGGTTCCAAATTGGTACTGTGAACAATCTATTTGAAGTGTGTATAAGAATGGGAAATAAAAACTTTTGTTCATGCCTTCTGCCCTTTTTCGATTTTCCTCTGAGAGAAATTTTGATAGCTAAAGATAAAAGGTAATGTGACAGTCGCTATGAATCAATGGAGACGCATGGTAGTCTAGTCGCATAGGACTATTGAGCGTAAACCCAAAACTTGATATCTTAAAAACTCATAAAAGTCATAAACGAAAAAAATCGCTGATTTTTTTATATGAAGTGTAAGAAAGCCTAAATTTTCAAGAAAAATATAAAAATATACTGCGCCCTCATGAAAACCATAAAATAAAACAAATGCAATCAATGATTTTCTATATAAAATCACATTTTTTTTAATATCATTTTATTAATTTTTTATTTCCTTTCATTTGATGTTTTGATCTTTGAAATCGGCTCAGTGATTCAAAAGCTATGAAATTTTGAAAAAAAATATCATTTTTGTAAAAAATCGGGTTTTTGAACCACTCTAACTCTAATTTAGTTATTACAATAACAAACGGATAACAGATGCTTTTTTAGATGCCAGAATACCATAGTTTGTTATTTTGAAGGTCTTCTAATACCAATTCAATAACTCTCTGAAAGGTCCCATTTTGTTATTTCGGTTTTCAAAAAAAAAAAAAAAGGTTTTATAACACGAGCATACCAAAATCTGGTATCATACCACATTAAGATATTCATTTGTTATCGATTAGCTATCGGTTCCTGCTCGGGTTTAAATGGATTAGTACTACTTCAGGGAAATCCAAGTTCAATAAACGTTGTGGAACTTCAGGAAAGAAAATCAATACAAATAGTAGAAGTACAGTGAACTTTGTAGTAGTGCAACAAACTTAGTAGCAGTTCGATATATATGAATTTTCAATTTTCTTTCCAATCGTATTCCGAAAAAAAGCTAATAGTGTATTTTTGAGTCTGGCTTAGAAATAGCCCATGAATAAAATTCTTGGGCCGTTGTTATATGGTGGTCTTGCAAACTCGTTTTCGCAGCGTTTCACTTCAATACTCCTCCCAAAGCATCACAAGGGCCCTTTCCATGACAAGTTACGAAACAATTCCACTCGGCAGCAATGACAAAATCTTTTTGCATGTTGCATTAATTAAAAGCGGTCATCTTATTTTTATGTTGGCTATATTGGTAAAACTGCAACCAGCATTGTTCACTTGGATTTTGACAAATTATTTTCGTAAACAAATCGGGATAGGAATCAACACCATCTGGGAGTAGGGTTTTAAAAATAAGTTTAACGTTCTGATGATATAAACAAACGCATACGGTATGCGTGCCACTTGTCCCTGCCAGGAAAGATACGATAAGATGTCCCTGCCAAAATGCAGTATTTCGGACAGTTACTTGCGAACATGGAAAATCCTATTTTAATGCATTGTTTACAAAAGCTGATACGTCCCTTTGAAAAAGTTATCGAGATTTATCCTTAAGTTGTATAAGGAATTTCTTTTTGGTCCGACAAAGGTGCGTTTTAGGTGGTAACGATCGATTCAAAAATGGTTGTTTCCACTAAAAATAAATATAAAAAAATGATTGATTTTTAGAAGAAGAAAAACAACAACAACATACAAATGATTTGTTTTTTTAATATTAACCTTGGAAGGGAAAAGGAACTATTCCGGACGGTCCCGCAACGGCATCGATGAAATCTGAAAAATGATTGCAAAAAAAGAAGAGTTTAAGTTAGTAGTTTCAGTGTTCACTCGGCTGTCGACAGAAGCAGACCACTCTCAATGTGTGTCAATCATTTTTTGGTCCTCCTCATTGTTCTTCATCAGCAGTTCTTTCAGTCGATGCGTCGTTGACTTTGGAAAGCAACCGTTTCGTGATGAGTGTGTGAGAGATGACCACGTTTTGCGTCCATTGCTGCAATGGAAGCGCTCTGACCCTCGTTGGCGAATCTGCCATACAATGAAAGCACTGGAAGCGGCTCCCGTTCTGGTGGAGGAGGCTTATTGGATAGCGGAAGATAAAATGTTTATTGTGTTGTACCTTTTTACTATAGTTTTAAGATGTATTGTATAGTGAACAAGAATCCTCGGCTCTGTAAAGTTAATTCGGTTGAGCCTTATCAAATAAACTAATAAACAACAAGTTAATAGTTTGAAGAAAAAAATTGAAATTTAAAGAAGAATCACATGAATTTTCAAATAACGTATCTGGAGCAGCGATTCTGGATGGTACTGCAACGACTTCTCCGGTCACAGTTCATACAGTTTGTGGTAGCAACGTTGACAAATGAAGGAGCTACTCTCATCTATTTTGATCGTTTTTTCCACTGCATAATCGTAAAATTTATTGGTGGTTTTTCTGGCACTTGCGTTTCATTTTCAGATATTCTTCGATTCAGCTGATATACAATGCTTCACATAACATTCTTTGTTTTATGTGAAGCAAGGTATCGTAACTACGAGTGAGTGATGTACCTACGAGTCTGTAACTCATAGGTATATCACTCGTTCGTAGGAAATGACGTCACCACAAACAGCTGTTTCAGGTTAA